CTCCCAGGTATGTTTGTTGCCTTGACTCTATAAAAAAATAGTAAAGGTAGGGTATAAATAGTATAAAATAAAAAATAAAATAATAAAACCTGTAAAGGTCTTCCCTACGCACCAGTCTTCTACAACAGGGGTGGGGAACAATGGCCCCTTTTATGACTTGTGGACTTCAACTCCCAGAATTCCTGAGCCAACTTTCCTCAGATGACTGAATGCTTTCTTTTCTGAAAAGAAGAGATTCCAACAGCTTGATATTCCAATTCACAGGCACACCCAAGTCAACTTTACAACACAAATTAATTAAAATATATTAAATATAATAAATAAATATCAATCAATTCATTAATGTTCAAATTATGGGGAAATTATCAGAGTTGTGTAGTGTGGTTGTTAAAAGGTATAAGACTGGTCCTAAGGACACAAAGGTCCTAGTCTACTCTCACCCATAGAAATTATTTGGGGACAGTTTTTCCTCAGACCAGCCTACCTCACAAGGTTGTTGTTTTTTTAAAACAATATTTTATTGGTTTTTTTACAATAACAATCTCCAGTGCCTGGTGTACAGTGTGTTGTCTTGATTTATATATTTGGAAAAAAAATTAATTAACAGTCAATAATGATTGATCTTGATAATTCCATAATTAGTATATTAATTAATATTATATTTCTTTGATCTTCCCTTCTCCCAGTTGTATTCTCCTTCTTCAACCTTAAACAAATATAATTCTTAATATTTTCAATGTATGATTAATTATAGACATTTTTTCATATTTGTACAGGTAATGATAACATCTATGTATAACTTTTTTATCAGCTTATATTATTCTTATAAAAATCATCTCATTAGTTCACCCTGCATCCTATTTTCGTGGTTTTTGTTTAAGCTTAATTTCCTCTTTATATTCAATCCATTCTTATCAGTTATGATTTTCTCAATGCTAGTCATCTAAATATCCAAATTTTTCCATTTCAGTACACCATCCCAATATTTTCATATTTCATGCATTATAAAAATACTGTACTTATCTATCTTATAGCATCTGCTTATAACATTCTTTCTGATCAGCTTATATTTCACTTATGTTTATAAAAGTTACATCATCCCAATATTTTTACATTTCATATATTGTAAAACATACTATACTACCTAAATCTCTTATCCCTCGTTATAGGACCCCTTTATGTTCAAAGTTCTCTATTCTTTTAACTATATTCAAACAAGTGTTTGCTCATGTAATATTCCAACTGGTAGGGTGAGTCAAGTCTCTTGAGTCTGTCTCTAGCCTTCTTCTTTTGTCGAGTTGCTTTCCAAGTTGGTGTATTCTGCTTGCCCGGCAGTTCCTGTATTTTTGTAAGTATTGTTGGGAATAAAGAAGATAAAATAGGTAAAATATATACTTTCTGTCGCCCAAACTCTGATGATTCTCCTGGGAATTCTATAGTCCATTCCATTTTTGTTGTTATATCAAAGTCTTGTAGATTTTTTCCTGTTTGTATTAAATTGTAGTTCTTTTCATTTGTAGCTTCATTGATTTGACCATGTTCTTCTAATTTGTGTTGTGTTATCTGATTTGTTTGTTCCTTCGTCATCATTTTCTGGGTGTTTTTTGATTGTAGATTTAGGTTAGAAATGTGCTTATTTATGTCGTCAAAGTTGGTTTTGATTTCCTCGTGGTTTAAATCTATTGTCATTTGTATCTGTTGTAACATTGTGTATATTTCCTCTTGAAAAGTATTTGTCTTGCCTTGAAATGTTGCTTCTGGAGGTCTTTGATGTTCCAGGCTAAGTTCTTCAGGGGTAAATATTGAATGTGGTGGTCGACATTTTTTGATAGGTATACGATATCCATGTTGTCTCCCCCCTTCAAATAGTCTTTCATCAATATTTTAGTCTCTATAATTAGTAATACAGGGAATATTTCTGTAACCGTTTTTTTATTCAGAGACCAATTATTAATCAGTCAAAGTTGCAATTCAGTATGTTTAGCCATCTTAAATCCTTCCTGTAAATTCTTCTCTAAAAGATTAGCCAAAAGCCTAAGCTTTTCTTATTCTATAAACAATTCTTAGATTTAGACAACAGTCCAGGTATTTTTTTTCAAACACTTTTTAATCTTATAGCTGGCCTAGCTCTTTCTGTTCCCAATTGTCTTCTTAAAAGTTATTTAAAATTCAAGGTAACAGATTATTCTTTGTTTCTGTGCTCTGATTCTCCACTAGGTGTCAATAGTTGTTTATTTTCCAGTTTTTTCAGACAAAAAGTTATTATTGTTATATATTTTTTATAATTTTATCAAAACTCTTTAGGGTATAGTCTTCACAGTTTTTTTTTAGTTTTTAGATTTGTCCAGACTGTCGTATTTTAAATTTCATTTCAATATATTTATTTCCCCTTAGTATTAATTCGCAGCTTCCCTCTATGAGGGAGTGGGGATATAGTCCCCTCCCTTCACTTTCGGAGGGTTTAATGCTTTGGGGGTCTTTCCCAAGAATTCGGTTAAAAGATAGAAGAGAGAAGATCGATGCTCTCACCAGTTCCAAGCACACTGTTCACCGATGTTCTGGTTCATGCTCTTGGACTTTGGCTGCATGTAGCTTGGGCTAGACGCTAATGTGCAGCTAGCCTTTCTCCTGTCAGGTCAAGGCCTTCCCTGGATCGAATGAAACGACCGCTGCCATTTCGTGATCAACAGAGTGCCCCTTCTTCACGGTCACCTCTTCAGGGCAACTTCAGACCCTGGCAGGGCAAAACTGGCTGTGGGGAGCGGCGCTCCGCTATCCCGTGGTCGTGCGCTATGGCGCAAAACCGGAAGTCCTCTCACAAGGTTGTTGTTTGGGGGGGGGGAAATAGGAGGAGTGTGATCTATGTATACCCCAGAAAGAAAGGCAAGATAATAGTCTAAGAAAGAAGGCAAGGGAAGGGGATGAACTCATCAGATCCAATCCCAATTCTCAATCAAGGAAAGATATTTAAGAGCAGAAAGAAGAAATGATTTAAATAAAAATGCAGAGAGCCTGGAAAAAGGTCCTTCAACAAGAAGAGAAGAGGACAGACCAGTCTTCCAGTCTTCAAAAGAAATCTAAAGACAAATCAGAAATGATAGCAAAGAAGAGCAGTCACATATAGGTGGTCCTTGATTCACGACAGACCCCCTAAAAGGTACTTACGATCCGATTTCAAAGTTAAGATGGCTGTGCATGCGTGCGCACAGGCACACACCCCTGAGGTCACATGTTCACATTTTGGGTACTTAGCAACTAGCTCATTTTTATGGCCTTTTGGAGCATCCCAGTGACAAGACTGCTATTTTTGACATTTTTTATTGATTTCTGGCACTTACTTCCAGTTTCTGCCAAAAAACATCCACTGGGTATAATGGATTGGCTTAAAAACTGCTACATTAACTTACCAATGACTGCAAAAAATGTCATAAAATCAGGTCCAGTCATATGGTGACCCATTTAACAACCACAGTGACTCATGACTATAATTCCAGGCTCAATTACAATCATAAGTGTAGAACTACCTATACTTCAGTTTTTTTAACTGAAACGGCACAGCCAGAATGTCACTTTACTATATATAGAAGATACACATATGGAAAGGGTTAAAAAAAGGGGGGGGGACAGGAGTTTTCATTCTCCAGATGCGCCCGCAAAGTAGAGTAAGAACAGCCCAGGTAGTGCTACTGGTACAAAGCTCCACCTGTTTTTTATGTGTCAAACATGTAATGCACATAAATATGGTCAGAGATTCAGTCACACCATTGTGACTGCCATCTTGACCTTTCTGATCACGTCCTACAGACATCCCTGCTTCTCACTCATTAGCCTTGCTGAAATATCAATGATTTTCATAATCAAGGCAGCTGGAAGAATATTCATATCTCAAGTGTAGCTGGAATAAACCACACAACCCTCGGCCTCTTGATACTGAAAGAAACATGGTGGGCAGCCATTTTCTGCATCATGTTTTCCTCTCGGATTGTGGAATAACAAATGCTATAAAATGGGGGGTGGGGGAAGTAAGAGGCAGCCAATGTTAAGTCAAACGCCCATTCCTTCCTGGATAAAAGTGGTTTGTTGCTCCTCGTAATGCAGAGACGAACAATCAGAGACAAAGAGCATCCGGAGTTAACACTTCTGTCCTATGTTAAGGCATACATGACTTTTCTACCTGGTATTACTAATGGAAAAATCATTTTTACATTCTCAACTGCATTCACGAACATCCACTGATGGTACATGTCTCATAAAACATTTTTAGCATCTCCTTTCTGAAAACCAAGCTAGTTTTGTACTAGTTGGATGGAGACCTTACTTGTTCAATGTGGTTCCTTTCAAAATGCACCTAAATACTTTGCTTCAAAGTCAAAATCTAAACAGAATTACCATACCCAGAAGGAGAACTTCAACCTACAGAAGATTTGTAAATAAATAGAAAAAAAACAGACTGTTGATATTTATATCTGAGCAAGAATCAAACAAGGCTCTTGATTGGCTCCAAATAGGGTCCCCAAGCCAGGTGTCAAAACCATATATTCAAATCTTGCAGAAAAGCAATAAGATGGAGACCAATCTTAACTCTGGGGGAATGATGTTCCAAAGAGAGGAGGGAGGGAAGGCCCTTTTCCTAAGTCCCTTCAGATGTACATGTAGTCCTCAACTTACAACAGTTCATTTAGTAACTGTTCAAAGTTACGACGACACTGAAAAAAGTGACTTATGACTATTTTTCACACTTATGACTGTTTCAGCACCCTCATGGTCACATGATCAAAATTCAAATGCTTGGCAACTGACTCATATTTATGACGGTTGCAGTGTCCCAGGGTCATGTGATCACCTTTTGCAACCTTCTGACAATCAAAGTCAACGGGGAAGCCAGATTCACCTAACAACTGTGTTATAACTTAACAATTGCAGTGATTCACTTAACAAATGGGCAAGAAAAGTCGTAAAATGGGGCAAAACTCACTTAACAAATTTCTCACTTAGCAACATAAATGTTGGGCTCAATTGTGGTCATAAATCAAGAACTATCTGTACTTCCTTGATAGTTGGGACTTGCAACATGTCCTGCCTTTCTATGGTGGTGGGCCAGGTA